CATTAAAAATGCCTATTTATGTCCCACACACAAACGATAGCCTTCCAGTATCTGAAGGGGGCCTATAAGGATGCTGGGGAGGGACACCTCATTAGGAAGTTCAGGAACTGTAGTGATAGTACAAGGGGTAACTGGTTAGAACTTAAACAGGGGAAGTTTAGATTGGATATAAGGAAGAAGTTCTTTACTGTGAGGGTGGTGAGGCACTGGAATAGGTTGCCCAAGGAAGCTGCGAATGCTCCATCCCTGGCATTGTTCAAGGCCAGGCTGGACAGAGCCTTGGGTGACATGGTTTAGTGTGAGGTGTCCCTGCCCATGGCAGGAGGGGTGGAACTAGATAATCTTAAGCTCCTTTCCAACCTTAACTATTCTGTGATTCTGTGATGGCTTTGGCACAGGTGCGTGTGAAGGAGAACACAAACATCCCATAGAAGGGGAAACGGGTGAGAAGGAAAACCCCTCTCACTGTGTTTGGAGGCACGGTAGAGGATGAAAGGAGGAAAGGGGCACAGCCAAGAACACAAACTGGGTTTCCAGCAACCATTTAGGAACAGAAAAGGGAGGTGGCTCACAAGAAGCTTTGGAGGGTGAAGGAAGAACTGCCCAGAGCAACAGAGCTCTTTCTACCTGCCCTTTTACATCTTACCATGGTCAGAGAGGATTCCTCTGTGCCACTCTAGTGCCTGCCACATGAACTGAATTCCCACCACCACTCAGATTATTTGTCACCTCCTTTCAGAGATGACATTGGCTAACGGGTCATTGCTTCCAACAACCCCACATACCCAAACACCTATTGCAGAATTAATATATTGTCTCCTGGTTCAGAGGAAATTCCTGTCCAGCTGCTCTCACAGGAAACACACTTTGTCTGGGCTCTGTAGTTGGCACAAACACAGCACATAGCTCCTGGCCTTGCCTGCAGACTTGTGATCTGTCAGAGTGGCAACTGTGGGAGAGCCCACAGGTGAAACACTTAAACTGCTGCTTACACCACCAGCAAATTGGCCTTGTCAGATTGCAGGAAATCACATGTTCTTGTGTCCTCGCTCATTCAAAACCATGGGCAAGAGACAAAAAAATCCTACACCTGTATGGACTTCTTAAAGCTTGAGCTAATAGAGGAGCCCCACTGTTGGAATACAGACAATTGCAGTTACATTTACAACATCCTTCTAAAAAGCAAAAGGTGAATTTATGGTCCTCACCTTTCTCAACTGTCACCTGTTGGATATAAGCTGTGGTCCCATCTTCAAGTTCAATGACTTGTCCTTCAACCAGCTTTCCATCTGAAACAGTTAAAAAAATGCCATCAGCACTGCCTGCAGAGCCCAGTCTTCCTGGTCCCATGAGCTGTCCCCTTTGCTACATGTTCACAAGAAAACCAGTACCCAGAAGACAGTGAAACTGCAACTTATAGGCTGTTATTTATGAAGCTTTTCCCTGAATAGCCATAGAGGCACTTCCTAGAAATGCTGGAGCTTCCTTTACCTAGATAAGAGGATACAAGACAAAGAACCTGTTATTGCTTGTTTACAAGCTGCTCTTCACAGCTCTGTGAGCCAAGAAGCAGAAAGAATGATGTGTGCTAAGTATTTTGGATCTAAAGTAGAAAGCAATTACACTTGTGCTTGGAAAAAAATCATCTGGGAGCTTTCACTGCCATCAGCAAGGGCCTGGAGATATTTTCTTCTGCTTTGATGGAGGATAAACTCTTGGGGAAAAGTTATAGTGCATAAAGGGGCATAAAGTGATGCCATCCTTGATGGGCTGTGAACATTGGACTCTTCAAATAGTGTAACTCTGAATTATACTATGTTTTAGTTCCCAAATCATTTGATGCAGAGAGGACATTGCTCTATCCCACTGCAACATGAGGAGCCCACGTTGCTTTCACCTGGTGCACAATGTCAGGGGGGCATGTTATCACAAAACTGGTGGTTTCAAGATAGTCCAACTCCACATGTAACAAACCTATCAAGTTTGCACAGAAAGGAAAGCAAGAGAGGAATCCCCAGGACATGAAGCCTTGCAACTCAACCTTCCTGTTCTACAGCGTGGGAAGAAACATATTCCTTTTCTCAGGAACAGTGGGTGGTGAAGGAAGCAGCACCTCACAACCACCAAAATCAGAGCAGGTATTGAATTTGGCACTGCTTCAGTTAGTCAACACCAAGCTCAGCCCCACTTTGAGTGAGAAAAGTGCTACTGGGAAGCAAATTCTCTGCATCTCAACGACATAAACCATCCTGCTTAGCTTCAGGGTTGGATAGAGTCATGCAGGTCATAGTGCGAACTTCATTTTCCCAGTTATTCCAGGGCTCACTCTAGTCTGAACAGAACCTTTATTTTCTACAGCAACACCTCTCCCATCTCCAAGGCTTTATTTCCAACCAGAGGCATGTTTGATTTCTACTGCATCACTGTGCAAATCTAACAGAGAGCTGTCAGCTTCCTGTCCAAAGGAATCACACACGGTCTGCACACCACGAGGGCACTTTTGATAAGTTCTGACTTGAATTTCTGACTCAATCAAGACACTTTGAGACTTAAACTAGATGATCTTAAGGTCCTTCCTAACCCTAACTATTCTATGATTCAATGATTCATAGCCCAAAGGAACCATTACCTTTGACAGCCTGCTGAATGTAGGCTGTCATCCCGTCACTAAGGGTCACTGTTTGCAGGCCCAAGCTCTCCATCCTGCCCTGATGGCTGGTCCTCAGACATGAATTTCACTTTACTCAGTGTGCTCGTAGAGAGCACCAGGACACAGAGCAAGAGGTTTGTGGAACAAGGAGCTGTGTTCTTGTTGTAAGCCTTGAATAAAAAGAACAATTCAAATTTTGTTTTCACCCAACATATGTATAGCCACTTTTGCACATTAAGAAAGGTTTAAATGGCAAATGATTTTTCAGATTGTAAAGGATTAAACTGGTCAAAAGATGTATATCCATGGCAAGCAGGAGTAAATCTACTCCACAGGTAAGTATAAGGTAAAGCTTATCAAGTGAGTGAATCAACAGACTCTTCTTAGAGATAGTGTAAACGCCCCATTCAAGCCCTTCCCATCCGCCACATGACCTGCAGGAAAGGTTTCCGAGTACTTTAAAGTGTGAACCTACAGGCTGAGGGTGTCCTGTACTGCAAGATGAGCAGGACAATGAGCTTTGTACATGGAAGCTTTCTCTCCTCCCTTTCCTGTCCAATTCCTGGGCTTCTGAGGAACAGAATTTCAGGCTATAAGCAGATGATGTTAAAACACTCACACCCTGACAAGAGCATTTCGCTGGAGGCACTTTGCTTTAAAAAGCATCTTTAAAAGCAGCTGCACTGGATTCTTCAGGAGTAATCTCTGAGACAGTCTTGTATTTTACCCTTTTGATTTCCAGGAACAAGTCTGACCACTCTGCCTGACACTGCAGCACCCGTGGGCCCAGCCAGGCTTTGTGCCATGCTCAATGCCCTTTAACCCAAGTGCTCCCTAGACCCAGCAGACACCTCCTCACTCACCGCAGCAGATTCTGCTTAGTTTTTAGTGCTGACACCTCCCGGTAAGCATTACAGCTCATTCCCCAGCAAACGCCCAGCCACAGCAGGGTCGCTGGGGAACAGAGGACCCTCTGCGCTGCTGTGGCTGCCATGCAAACGGCTGGAGGGGCCGCAGCCCCCTGGAAGGGATGGGGCAGGCGCTGCCGGAGAAAAACCAAGCGTAGGCTGCAGCGCGAAGCCAGCCCGGGGCTGACAGGGGACGTGCCTCCGCGGCAGGGCAGGGCAGGGCAGGGCCTTGTGCCACGGCGAGCCCTGAGGGGAGCGGTGGGACAGGCCCAAGTGCCGGGGGGATGGCGGGGAGACACGGCGGGGCTCCCCCCACGCTGTTATGCAGGGGTCCGTCGGCAGCAGCTCGCCGGGGCACCGCTGCCCCTCAGCCGCCATCTCACCCCGTGCCGTCCGCGCTCCCCCAGCCTCCGACACCAACCTGAGGAAACGCGACGGCACCGAGTCCGCCGCCTGACCATCATGCACCGCGGGCCGGCCCCTGCTCACCCCACCCCGCAACACGCATAACGGCAACACCCCCATCTCGCCTCGGCGGCTCCCGGCTTGTCATACAGGTTCCGGGGCACAGCAACCCCGCCCCCCGGAACTGGGTCGGCCGGGCCAACTTGGTGCTAGAGCCACGACGCGCATGCGCATTGCTGACATTGAAGCCACAGGTTTCCCTCAGGAGCCATGCCCTGCGGCAGCCCCTCCGCAGCCGGGCACAGCCCGGGCGGCAGCACCCGCGCCTGGCGCTGAGCAGCAGCAGCAGCAGCAGCAGCAGCAGCGGCGGCGGCGGCGGCGGCGATGGCGATGGCGATGATGGGGCCGGGCTTCCCGCCGGGGCAGCCGGGAGGCGAAGCCGGTCTGGCCACTCTCAACATGGCGGCGTCGCCGTGCCGCGCCCACCGCCCCCAGCATGGCGCGCACCAAGTCTCGCGAGATTCCCGCCCCTATTTATTCCGCGCGTGCGGGCCTCGCCGCCTTTCGGTCTCGTCGGGCCGCCGCCATCATGAGGTGGGTGCGGGCCCGCTGCGCTGTTCGCGCCCATCCGCGCCCATCCGCGGCTGCGGGGAGCGGGGGACGAGGGCCGATGGCGGCGGAGCGCGAGCGGGCCAGGGCGGGCCCAGCGGCGTCCTCCCCGCAGCCCGCAGGAGGTCCAGGCCGGGCCCGCCCTGAGCCCGCGTTGTTTCTCCCCCCGCAGCAGCAAGGTCTCCCGCGACACCCTGTACGAGGCGGTGAAGGAGGTGCTGCAGGGCAGCAAGGTCAAGAAGCGCAAGTAAGAGCCCTGTGCTGTGGAGGGACCGGGGCATCGCGGGGCGCTGCCCGGCCGTGCCCTCAGCCGCTCTGCCCTCCTCAGGTTTGTGGAGACGGTGGAGCTGCAGATCAGCCTCAAGAACTACGACCCGCAGAAAGACAAGCGCTTCTCCGGCACCGTCAGGTTCGGCCTCCTCTTGCTCCCACCCAGCCTTCAGCCCGCGCCCCCCTTGCGCTGCCGGGCCCTGCCATGGGGCAGCACGGCCGCGGCAGCGTGAGGCCGCGGCGCTGAACCGCTCGGGTAGTTCAGCCCAGCCCAGTTAAACGGGTGCGGCTGGACGGACCCCAACCCTGGGTCTTAAAACATGAGGGGAGGTGGGTGCTCTCCCCACCGACCTGCTGGGGAAGGCAGGGTAGCAGCTGTGAAGGAAGAGGTCCAGGCGCTGTGGTAAGGTACCTCTTGTGTTGGCTCCCGTGGAAGAGTGTGTGGTGCTGGAGGTTTATGGTAATTCAGAACTTCTGTCTCCAGGCTGAAGTCAACTCCACGGCCCAAGTTCTCTGTCTGCCTGCTGGGGGACCAGCAGCACTGTGATGAGGCCAAAGCAGTTGACATCCCTCACATGGACATAGAAGCTTTGAAAAAGCTCAACAAAAACAAGAAGCTGGTGAAGAAGCTGGGTGAGTGGTGGTGTGGGTCAGGCTCAGAGTGCCCTGGCTGACATGGGAGGGCTGGCTAAGCAAGATGGCTTCCCATGTGCTCAGGTTTTCGTGTTGTGGTTAACTGCAGGGAATAGGAAGCTGAGCATTGTCAGCCTCAACTACAGCAATCAGGCTAGAAACTACCCTGACAAGCCAACAGTTAGCAGTGCAGGAGGTGTGACAGGTCAGCCCTCCTGGAAGGAGGAGGCCCTCTGGGATGGAGGGATACAGGAAATGTTCCTATCTTTGGTGTCACCTTTACTTGGTGTTCTTCATGTTCTTCTTTCGGAAGCTGGAGGCAAAAGTTGGATTTAGTCCTGCAGTATTTACCTGAAGGGAATGAAATCTGCATATTTTCACTTACTAAGAAAATCCTTCTCTCCCTGTAAAGGCAAAGTCAAAATGATACATACCTTAGGCAGACAAGAAAACCTTCCCATTTAATCTATAATTAGCCATGAAATTGTACATAATAAGAAATGAGATGGGATACCATGGCTGCTAGCTCAGCCTCTCCAAGGTGTATGGTACATCTGCCCACCCAGATGTGCCCAGGCTGTGCTGGGAGGCTCTTGGAGCTCAGAGTTAAGCGTTGGTCACCTTTGGCTCAATAAATGCTACTTTCTTCAGGGAAATGAGCTGTGCACAGTTCAGCGTGCTGTCGGGGTGAAGCTGGGTGCTGGTGGGTTTGGCTGTTGTGACAGGAGTAAGTTCTGATACAGTAATAGTAAAAACAGGTCGGGTTCAAGTAGGCAGGACTCAGTGTGAAAAGGTGCATGCTGAGGGAGATGGAGCAGCACAGTCTCAAGGTTGGTGTCAGAGCTGAGAGCCCATCCTTACCCATGTTGGTTCTTTCCTCACAGCCAAGAAGTACGATGCCTTCCTGGCTTCTGAGTCCCTGATCAAGCAGATTCCTCGAATTCTGGGACCAGGGCTGAACAAAGCTGGCAAATTCCCTTCTCTTCTCACTCACAATGAGAACCTGGTGGCCAAGGTTGATGAGGTCAAATCTACCATCAAGTTTCAGATGAAGAAGGTAAAGCAGAGCTTTTCCTTTCCAGGGCAGCTTCCTGCCTGTGGCTGGGCTGGTCACTCAGACACGGCTGTGATATCTGGGCTGGGCTGTAGGTGTCCCTCGAGTGCCTTCCTAAAACAGTGCCCCGTGACCATGAGGCTCCCTCTCCATCAGCTGCTGGCAAAGGGACATCATTCATAATGTGGCTGAAGGGTCTGAGAGCAGATGATGATGAGATGATGTTTCAATGCAGAGCACAGTCATAATTAACACTTCCTACGGCAAGTGGGTGACATTTGCAGGGTGCAGCGCCTGTGGGTCTGTGCACTCAGCAGTGCTTTGCCAGAAGCAGGTTTGGAACTTGACTCTGCAAGTGGCTCTGGAGCAGCTCTGCAGATGTCTGCTCTTGCTGTCAAGAGGTGTCAAAGCAAGTTGACTCCCCAGCACAGGAGCTCCATAAAGCAGGTTATTTTAACCCTGTTCAGGAGTCTTGTCTCAGTGGTTTAAGTGTGACTCGTGGGTGTTACTCAGAATTAACAGGTCTGCTCGCTGAGGTGCACCGTTGGACACCAGCTGCTGTGTGCCTGGGGGCACAACAACTGGGAGGGCAGCGGAAATGTGCTAGTTTCCAAATGCTGGAGCATTTTAAGTAACTGAGCTAATGATGCCGTGGCACTTTGCCTGTCAGCTCGCTCATAAGTCCCTTTGTCTTGTGCCTGTGGGGAACACTGACTTCCAACTCCTCATCCAGCCTGGCAGGCAGGGGCTTCTCAGCCTCTTGTGCATGGAAAGAAAGGGCTGGTGGCAAGGCAAAAAGTGAAGCTGGGGCTGTGCTTCACAGTGAAGTTTGGAGCTAACTGTTCTGTCTGGGGCTAGAGGTTTGCAGGGCACATTGCACACTGCTCCATGAGCAGGTTGGTGGGAACATGGTTAAAACAGAGGTCTGCTCCCACTCTAGTGCCTCTTTGGCACCATGTGTTACGTGTCATTCCCAGTTTTCCCATCTTTGGGAGGCACTGGTGCTCATTTCCTTTTCTAAGTCCCCTTTGCTCTCTGAGGAAGCTAGGTGCTGTTCAGAGGTGGCATCCGGATGCTGCCAGACACATTGATGGGAGCCATGTGCCAAACACAATTTGCTCTGTGGAAACACCCGTAGATAAGACGGAAAAGTTCTGTCCAGTGGACAAAACAAGGGAATTTGATACCCCGCTTAGTTTAGTTTAGTGATTTTGTCAATCACTTTGCTGTAATCTTTCATTTTTCCCCACAAAACCCTCTTACCTGCATCGGTGACTGTGGTGTCCTTGTCCCTCAGGTGCTCTGTCTGGCTGTGGCTGTTGGTCATGTGAAGATGACAGAGGATGAACTTGTCTACAACATCCACCTGGCCATCAACTTCCTGGTGTCCTTGCTGAAGAAGAACTGGCAGAATGTGCGTGCTCTGTACATCAAGAGCACCATGGGGAAGCCCCAGCGCCTTTACTAATGGGGCGGCAATAAACTTTTAGGATACCTTCAGCTGTTTGGTTGTGTTCCTCTGAAACTGGTTGGGAAGGGTTTGCCAAAGAGCTGTTTGCTTCCATGTAGCATGAGAGTTCTCCAGTGCTGTTGAGCTGATGGGTATGAAGTGGAGCAGAATATGAGGCTGTTGGAGCTTTTGAGGGAAGTAACCTCATCATGTGTTCAGAGCAGGGCAGGGAGGGGGAGCAGCTCCACTTGCATGCTGAGCCAGCAAAACAGGTGGTTACCCACAGCTGAAGATGCATGGTGCTAAGCAGTCACTGTAACCCTTTGAGCCCCCAGCTTGCCATTGCTGGAGATCTTTCCCTTGTGCTGGAGTTACCTGAAGCCATAAGAATCCTGTGCCTCAGAAGTGCTATGGCCACCCCTAACCCATGGCACTGAGGCCTTGTCTCCACGCTGTGTGAACACTTGCAGGGACGGTGACTGCAGCCCTGCCCTGGGCAGCCTGTTCCAATGCCTGAGCACCCTCTGGGGCAGGAATTGTTCCTCAGCTCCATCTAACCCTGCCCTGGGGCAGCTTGAGGCCGTTTCCTCTTGTCCCATCCCTTGTTCCTTGGGAGCAGAGCCCAGCCCCTCCTGGCTCCATCCTCCTCTCAGGCACTTGTAGGCAGCCATCAGGTCCCCCCTGAGCCTTCTCTTCTCCAGCCTGAACCCCCCAGGTCCCTCAGCCCTTCCCCATCACACTTGTGCTCCAGGCCCTGCACCAGCTCCGCTGCCCTTCTCTGGCCCCGCTCCAGCACCTCAATGTCTCTCCTGCAGTGAGGGGCCCAGAGCTGAACACAGGATTCGAGGTGCGGCCTCACCAGTGCCCAGCACAGGGGCACAATCCCTGCCCTGGCCCTGCTGCCGCACTGGTGCTGGTACAGGCCAGGATGCTGGGGGCTTCCTGGCTGCCTGGGCACAAGCTGCTCGTGTTCAGCTCCATCACTCAGCACCCCCAGCTCCTTTTCCAGCCGCTCTTCCCCAGGCCTGGAGCGTTGCAAGGGGTTGTGGCCCAGGTGCAGAACCTGGCACTTGCCCCTTTTGAGCCTCATCCCATTGGCCACAGCCCATGGATCCAGCCTGCCTAGATCCCTCTGTAGAGCCTCCTACCCTCCAGCAGATCAATGCTCCCATCCAACTTAGTGTCATCTGCAAACTGATGGAGGGTGCCCTCAGGCCCCTCATCAATGAGGATATTAAACAACACTAACCCTAACACCGAGCCTTGTGGGACACCATTTACCACCACTCTCTGGACTCAGCTGCCCAGCCAGTTTCCAACCAAGGAAAGAATCCTCCTATCCAGGCCATGAGCAGCCAATGTCCCCAGAGCACTGTGGGAGACAGTCCAGTGCTTTACTGAAGTCTGAACAATGTCCACAGCCTTTCCCTCACCGACCAGGGGTCACCTGTAGGAAGAGATCGGGTTGGTCAGGCAGGCCCTGCCCTTCACAAACCCATGCTGCCTGAGCCTGATCCCCCGCTTTCTCACATGTGCTTTGTGATCTCAGATGATCTCCTCCGTGACCTTCCCCCCCCACTGAAGCTGTAGTTTCCAGGGTTCCTTCCTACCCTTTTTGTGGAGTTGTCCTTCTGGCCAACTTCCAATCCTCTGGGACCTGCCCGCTGGACCAGGGGTGCTGATAGATGCTGGACAGTGGCTTAGCAACCTCCTCTGCCAGCTTCTTCTGCACTCTTGGGTGAAACCCACCCAGCCCCATAGACTTGTGTACATCCAAGTGAAGCAGGAGGTCTCTATAACCATTTCTTCCTGAATTATGAGGACTTGAGTCAGCTGCCGTCTCTGCCATCCAGCTCAGGGAACCGAGGACCCTCAGCAGGGCTGCTGGTGTGACTCCTAAAGACTGAGGCAAAGGCGGCATGAACTACGTCAGCCTTTTCCTTATCCCCAGTCCCTAGGTTTCCCCCGGTATCCAGCAGAGGATGGAGGTTCTCCTTGGCCTTCCTGTTATCGCTAATATATTTGTAAGAGCATTTATTCTCTTTTATGGCTGTGGTCAGACTTAGCTCCATATGTTCCTTCACCTTTCTAACTTTCTCCCTACATAACAACATCCTTTGTACTCCTCATGGGGCAACAATCCCTTTTTTCCATAGGTGATAAACTCCTTTTATTCCTGAGTTCAAGCAATATCATAGAATCATGGAATAGTTTGGGTTGGAAAGTACCTTAAAGCTCCTCCAGCTCCAGCCCCTGCCACAGGCAGGGACCCCTTCCACAGAGCAGCTTGCTCCAAGCCCCTGTGTCCAACCTGCCCTTGAACACTGCCAGGGATGGGGCAGCCACAGCTTCTCTGGGCACCCTGTGCCAGCGCCTCAGCACCCTCACAGGGAAGAGCTTCTGCCTTAGATCCAACCTGAACTTCCCCTGTTTCAGTTTGAACCCATCACCCCTTGTCCTATCACTGCAGTCCCTGATGAAGAGTCCCTCTCCAGCATCCTTGTAGCCCCCTTCAGACACTGGAAGCTGCTCTGAGGTCTCCATGCAGCTTCTCTTCTCCAGGCTTCTCCCTGTTCAGCCAGGCTGGTTTTCCTCACCGGTTTTCAGCACAGGGGCACCACCTGCTCCTGCACCTTGAGGTGCATCCGGCCTTCCTGGACCGCTTTGTTCTTCAGTAATGTTCCTCAAGGAATTCTGGAACCAGCATCCTCAACAGGCCAAAGGCAGCCCCGCAGGAGGTGAAGGCTTTGCTGACCTCTGGCTTCTCCAAGGACTGAAGATTCAATCGTTTCATGACCACTTTGCCCTCCAACTGTCACATCACCACGAGCTGTGAACACATCTAATGGGGCACCCCCGGGGGCTCACGCACCAGCTGAGGCAGGAGGGTTCTTCTCTTCTCTAAGGACCGCCTGGATTGTCCCTGCTGCAGGCCAGGCCTGGGCTGTGTTTGCATTGAGAGGCTTCTGCTGTGCCTCCACCAGCAGTGACTGGGGCTGTGGGATCTCTCCCAGCAGCAGCTCTTGAGGCCTTGATGGGTGTTTCCAGCTGCCCCATGGGACCGAGGGCAGCAGAGGGTGCTGGGGCCCAGGTCACGAGGGTCTTTCATCCCCTTTGCTTCCCTCTGAGCTGGTCTGTGCCCAGTTCCCATGTTCTGGGCTAAAAATGAGTTGTACTGCAGCTAGTTAATGTATATAAATAATTACATTGGGTAATGACTGTTGAGCTTATGGAAGTGTGCAGGATTTAAGCTTCTAGGGAAAAAAAAACCCTTATGCCCTTGGAAAGGGCTTGTCTTAGCATCTGAGGGAGAAAAACAATGAAAACAGCTTTGGATCCTGCTGTTAGAAACCTTTAAAATAAGTGTTGGAGCCAGTTCTTTTTTTTTGAAAGATCAACACAACACCAAGAAATTCCATTTAATAATTAAAAAAAGACAATACAAAATGCAAACATTTCTCTTTACAAAGTTCAGATACATTTTCTTTTCTTTCAATCAAGTGCAAATAACTTCATGAACTACATCTGTCTCATCACTTTAATCATGTCTGCTGGAGATGGTAAGTCATGGCCCGCTGCAAAAGGCAGATATAAATATTCCAACATGAAAACTAAGAACCCAACAACCCTCCCGTGTGCTCACCACATCGAGACATTCGACACAGCCCAGAGGTGGCTGGTGACGCAGTTTTCAGCCTTTCAAACCCTTTCTGAGCCCTGCTAATGGGTGAGGAGAGGGGCTGTGCTGCAGAGGGGTGCTTCTGGTGGCCCCATGGACTCTTTGGTGGGGGGGTATTAGGGATATGTGGGAAAGGAGGAGGAGATGTCACCAGGTGCCTTTGGCCATTACAGATGCTGCCCATCTCACCCTTCCAAAACCGAGTTAGAGGTGGTTGGTGCAGTGACAACGGTGACAGCCTGGGTACCCCGAGGCTCTGGGAGGCCCAGTCCCCACCGGGTCAGGGTGACAGTGACCCTGCTGATCAGTCACAATGAATCCCTAAGCTCCAGTGCGTGGCTACCTCACACTGGGGCCATCACAGCGAGTTCATCGTCCCCGAGTTGGTTTTAGTTTTACTGTTCCAAATAGGAAGGACTCTTCCAACAGTCACCGCTCCACTGCCCCTGCCCCAGAGCAATAACCCCCTCCAAATCCCTACAACAGCTTTTGTGCATCAAAGCAGCTGCTTCCAGACACCAACCAAGTGACAAACAGCTCAGGCCGCAGATGTCGAGCTTCCAAACGTGCTGGGAGCTGGGCGGCAGGAGGGGGAGATGCGCAGCTGGGATTGATCAGGACAGACTATTCCAGCCGCAGCATCGTAGGGACAAACCTCAGCCCCCTTTGCCAGGCTGCAGCCCCTCATAGAGACCGGGAGGAGCTCTTGGAGCAGCAGGGACTGAGGAAGGGAAACACGGGAGAGCAGCTGCCTCTGGATTTCGGCAAGGACAGAGCGGGTGGCACATGTGGAGCGATACCTGGTTCATTAAGAGCAGGGCTCGTCCCAGCTGTGGTCAAAGTGACAGGGGGACACAAGCAGGGACAAGGACGGGACCTGCCAACAGGAAAGCTGTAGGCAAGTTGACCACATTTAGCTCCAGGTCTTTGAGAGGATGAAGATGGGGATGAAGGTGAGGGGAGGTGACAGCCAAGGATGGAAAGGGAGGAAGGTTTGGGGAGGAAGAGGATGGATGATCGGTGGCAGTGTTCGCTGGTCCCCTGGGTCCTGTGTGGCCATGTGAAGATGCCAGGGGGACAAGCCCAAAAGTGGGACTTGGTCCCCAGCCAAAGGGGAATGCAAGTGGCAATGAAAGCAGGGTGGCAGGATGGGTTTCCTATGGGATCTGCACCACGTGCCCTGGAGAAGGGCTCCTGCAGCATCCCAGTGCAGTAAGCATGTTGGATGGCTGGAACCACAAGCACGTGAAGGGACTTGGAAGCACAAAGCTTCCCAGAGCTAGGTGGGATGGTTCTTCCTGCAGGGACCACCACACCTGGCAGAGATTTTGGGACTGAGCAGAGGGGCAGCTCCCCTCTCGTCCACTGTGA